TGCATTTACAAAAAGTATAGATTTGCATCACACAGGATTTTCAATGCAGATGAAACAGGATGCAGTACCGTCTCAGCTCCTCCAAAAAATATAGCTTGAAAGGGCTCAAAACAAATAGGAAAGGTTACATCAGCAGAACAAGGTACGCTTGTGACTACTCTTTTTTTTGTTAATGCTAGAGCTGGTACTATACCTCCAGTAATTTTTCCTCGATTAAATTATAAGGATCACATGTTGAATAATGGGCCTTCTGGAGCAATAGGTTTAGCACATGTTTCAAGATGGATGACTAAAAATAATTTTGTGAAAGCAATACAACATTTTATAAGCCATGTAAAACCAAGTAAAGAAAATCCTGCCCTATTAATATTAGATAATCATACCTCCCATGTTAATCTTCGTGTGATAGAATTAGCCAGACAACATTTTGTAAAAATTCTAACTTTTCCACCACATTGTAGCCATAAGTTACAGCCTTTAGATGTTACAGTGTATGGTCCATTTAAAACAAGATACAGAATAGCTATGAATGAATGGATGCTCTCAAATCCTGGAAAAACAGTCAGCATATATCAGGTTGCGCAGTTTGCTAGAGATGCTTATTTAGCCGCTTTCAGCATGAGAAATATTACAAATGGATTTATCAAAACCGGCATTTACCCTTTAAATTTCAAAATATTTTCTGACGATTTTTTTACATCTTACGTAACTGATAGACCTGAGCCAGTTTTTTTAAATGATGCTACTCCACAAAACTTGAGATCCTCAATACAAGGATTCAGCACTGTCCATATTGATACTTCAGATGCTCCTGGAAACTCAAAAGTTAAACCAACAAAAACAGAAAGTTTGGCTAAAAACATCACATCGTCAGAATCTTTATCACAGCCATCAACATCACAGCAACAATTGGTTAGCCCTGAAAATGTAAGGCATTTTTTAAAATCAGGACCTAAAAAGAATTTAAAATCTAATGATCTTAAAATGGTCTCAGCTATAATCACAGATAAAAAATAAAATCAAAGAGAAAGAAACAAAAAAGAAAAAAGAAACAAAAAAAGAAGTGTTACTAAGAAGACTAAAACAAAAAAAAAAAAAAAAAAAAAAAATACAAAAAAACTCTAAAAAATACACAAAATGATTCCATTGATTCTAGTGGTACCATATCATTGCATGATGATGCAAGCTCACATGATGAAATATATTTATCAGAATTAAAAAAAAGGTATATTTGAAGAGGATAATATAAATCATTGTATTGCATGTAATGGACATTGTGGTAAGACCAAGGAAGAATGGTACCAGTGCAAGTTGAAAGATGGGCACATGAATCTTGTGAAGATCCTTCACATGAATATGTAAAGGATGGGCACATGAATCTTGTGGCTTCAAAGGTGTGATTAACTTCATCTGCCAAAAATGTTTCTGATACTTTTTTTTAGTTTTTGATGTTGTTATATGAAGATTTTTTTTATCATTTTATCAAAGTTGTTTTATCATTTGTTTTATCATCATTAAAGCTGTTTTATCATTTGTTTTATCATTGATTATAATAAAATTATATAAGTCAAAGTACGATTTGAATTTTAGAAGTCTAGTTAATAGATTATTACTCTTAAAAGACTTGTTAGTTTTAGAAAAAAACTTTACGGCTCATTTATAGCACAGTGTGGCTCTTTCATTGACAAGATGTTATGAAAGAACTGATTTCTCTCTTTTTTTAAAATAGATATATAATAGATTATTAGCATTGTTATCCAGTTTATTTTAATTTTATAATATTACCCAATAAAGTAACTATTTAATTAAAGATTTTTTTTTTTTTTAATAAATCAAAATTGACTTTTTTTCATAACCCCTTAAAACTGACTTTTTCATACACACTCTCCCCTATTCATTATGGCTTTATGATATTTTATATGTATTATTCTGAAAAAATAGTTTCACAAAATAGTGCCAAAATAACTTCATTACAGCCAATAATGATTCTTTATGTCTTATTTACTTTAGTCAATATGGTAAAAAACCGAGAGTAGATTGAAAAAAAAATTGGTAATACAAGTTCTGTAAACATAAAGGATGCAGTGTCTACGGTAACTAAAAAAGGGTAAAGCATTTCTGCTGTAAACTAACATAGTAAAACTGCATTTTTAAGTTTACAAAGGCATGTGGAAAAAGCTAAATAATATGTTCGTAATGAAGAAAAGTACACACCAAACTACAAATGGCGACAGGTTTTCACTTAGGCGTCGTCCATAAAGTACGTACGCCAAAAATTTCAAAAAATTAACCTCCCACCAGTTGTTAAGCGTACTTTTTAGTTTACTCCACCCTTTGAAAAGTATGTACCCTTTTGAAGTACTCCCCTTCCCTTCTCTTTTCTTTTTATGAGTTTAAAAAATTAAAATTTAATAATAAAAAAAATTTTATTTAAGAAATTTAAATATTAGGGATCGTCCATAAAGTACTCCGGCATGAGAGAAAAGTAAGTAGTCATCAAAAAGTGGTGATATTCTTTATATTTCAAAACGTTCCATTTCATTAAATAATTGATCAATACTTTCCAAAAGCAATATGAAGTATAAAAAAAATTTTGGAATTTCAATTTTTAATTAATTAACGCGACATCAGTCTTCCCAAGGCTAACAAGTTTAAAAGCTAAAGTTTCAAAGTATTGTTAAACTTTAAATATTTTTTTTTGAAACTGTTATGTAAATAATGTTTTTTTATAATTTGTAAACATTGTTTAATAAAAAATATTTTTTAATAAAAATAAGACACTATAAATTATATCAAAACTAAACAAACAACCCCCGTTTGCATTTATTGTAACTTGTAAATTTAAGTTTTGCTTTAAATAGTCAGTTAAAAATTAGTTTGAAGGCAAAATTATTAAAATAAATAATCAGGCCCGACGAGAGGGAAAAAGGGGGGGGGGGCAGAAGGGGTATTTTCCACAGGCCCGGGCCCCTACGGGCCCGGGCCCATCACCATCGGTCTCTTAGTCTATCAGGTCCCAGTCTCCAGGTAATCAGCCAATCCCCATCAAGCAACATTGTGTCTGCATCACTTCATCAGTTAGATAAATAAATAAATTTACTATGTAATATTGATAGGATAAATCTATTCTTTATTAATAATTTAATTTATTTAATGAAAATACGCTTTTGAGAGTAAAAACGGAGACTAATAGCCTCAAAAACTTAATAATATAAATAAAGGGCACCAGCCCGCAGGTTTTTCGTAAGTTCTTTGCTCATGCTATGCTTTATAATATATATAATAGGCCTATATATATATATATATATATATATATATATAATATAAATATATAATATAATATAATATAATATATATATATGTATATATATATATATATATATATATATATATATATATATATATATATATATATATATATATATATACATATATATATATATATATATATATATATATATATATATATATATATATATATATATATATATATATATACATATATATATATATATATATATATATATATATATATATATATATATATATATATATATATATACATATATATATATATATATATATATATATATATATATATATATATATATATATATATATATATATATATATATATATATATATATATATATATATATATATATATATATATATATATATATATATATATATATATATAGTTTGTAAATCAGCTTAAAGCGGACATATATGTATAAAAAATCCACTCTAAAACGAACGTTTAATGTAAAAATAAAAACTTTTTAACTTTTAAATTTAAATTATGAATTTATATAAGTTATAAAACTTTAAAAAAATCCTTGCACGAAAAGTTATGGAAAAACTAGTGACTTTTTTTAACTTAAAGTTGTAAAACATCAAAAACAGCATCGTATTAACTACTATTTCTTTTTTGTGAAATTTTGGTCTAAATCATAAAAAAGAAAAATTAGTTAGTACGATGCCGTTTTTGATGTTTTACAACTTATTTTACTACTAAAAATACTTCAAGAAATGTCGCTAAAACACTTATTTTAAACTATTTATTTATATGAAGTTATAAAACTTTGTAACTCGATTAAAAAAATTTACAATTGCTTTAAAATCACAAGCGAGATACCATTAATGAGATCTAAAATATAAGAAAACGCTACACTGAATAAAAGTATGTTTTACGTTAAGATAGCGTAAAATTTTACGTTAACCAGACTTATAGTATAAAAATTATTCTTCATATTACGTAAAGCAGACATTAAATTTTTTATTTAGTTTTTTTGTATCTAAGGTGAGTTTAATTACAAAATTTGTTTTCTAAAGCAAAAATATTAGGTTTTTACTAAGAACCTTATTGCTATTTGTCTTTAGGACCAAGATTTCAAGTGTCTGTTTTAGGTCAACTTTTTAATACTGTCTGCTTAGCGATCAATTAGCGTTATATATATATATATATATATATATATATATATATATATATATATATATATATATATATATATATATATATATATATATATATATATATATATATATATATATATATATATATATATATATATATATATATATATATATATATATATGTATATATATATATATACAATTTAATATATAAAGTTATACATATATATTATATACATATATCTATTTTATTTATACAGTATATACTGTACTGTACATTAAACTGAACTTCTATTTTAACTTTTAACAATTATTAATTGTCATTTATTTTAATTTGTCAGTTTACTTATTAACTTAACTAATAAATTTTTGTTCTATTGTTAAAGGACCTCGCATAGGCAGCCTACTACATGCAGCTATGGATCATTACCAGCATAAATCTGGTGCTCAAAAAAGAAAAGAAAAGATTGCTCGAGAAAAATCAGCCAAGATCAAAGTACGATTGAGGTCAAAGTACGATTGAGTCTTTCGGATTTATAAATTGTAATCGTATTGATGGTGTTTCTGAGGATCAGATGTGCAAGATGAAGTCACAACTCTCAAATGTTGAAGTAGAGCCAGTGCCAATTGAGGAAGATGAATTGTTAAATAGGAAAGTTATGAGTGCTGATGTGAAAGAAAATGTAATAGACGAAAATGAAAATATTCTTCCAAAGACATCAACTGCAAGGCTAGAAGAATTACAAGACAAGGCAGATGATGTCCAACTAGTTCCATCAAATAACTATGATACTGGTTTAATTAAGGAATTATTTTGCACGGCTGAACAAATAAAAAAATTTGTTCATCATGGACCCATTGCTCACCCAACAAAATTTCCAAAAGATGCATTGCCTAAATCATTTCCACGCACGTTATTTCACATTGCCATGCCAAATGGCGAAAAAATTCCACGAGATTGGCTAACGTGGAGTGAGACGAAGAATGCACTTTACTGTTTTCCCTGCCGACTTTTCTCTAAAATGCCAGAAGCCCATCGATCGGCATTATCTCTGCCAACAGAATATTCCAAGCCCAACGACAATAAATGAAAGAAACTTTATGAAAAAATTCCTCATCATCAATCCAGCAGTGGGCATAAGATGTGTTATGTAGAACGGAGACGATTAGAAGAAAATCTCAGAGATAATACAACTATCAATTTTCTACTAAATGATAATATAAAGACAGAAGTGGAAAGATGGAGGCAAATACTTCGTAGAGTATTAGATGTTATCTTGTTTTTGGGTGAAAGAGGTCTTGCATTTAGAGGTAATAGTCATCTAATTGGTGACCCCAAAAATGGGAATTTTTTGGGAATTATGGAACTCATTGGTCTTACGATTCCATTCTACATAATCATCTCAAAAAAGTAAAAGCTTCTCAACAGAGCCGTAAGCGAATGCAAGCACATTATTTGTCAAATGATATCCAGAATGAGTTTATTCAGTGCTGTGCAGATAAAGTCACAGATGTGATATTAGATGAGAGGGAGAAATGCAAATATTTTTCAATGATTGTGGATGCAACGCCTGATACAGCTCATATTGAGCAAAATGTTTTTATTTTAAGATACGTCTTACAGGACAAATTGACAGGAAAATATGAGGTAAAAAAGAGACTTCTGGAATTTGTAGATTGCAATAAAAAAACTGGTGAAGATATTGCAAATATAATTACTTCTACTCTTCAGAAACATAAAATACCACTGATGTGCTGTCGTGGACAAGGATACGACAATGGGAGTAATATGAAAGGTTCAGTCAAGGGAGCACAAGCTCGAATTCTTGAACATTATCCACTTGCTAATTACTCTCCCTGTGCTTGTCATAGTCTGAATTTATGTGGTGCACAAGCTGCTGAATGTTGTCCTCAAGTGATAACTTTCTTTGGGATAGTGCAAAAACTGTATAACATATTTAGTAGCAGTCCTCAAAGATGGGAAATTAAAAAAATATATATTGGTTCGTCTCTTCATAGCATGTCCCAAACGCGCTGGTCAGCTAGGGTGGACTGCATTAAGCCATTCGCAACCCACCTTCCTGGTTTAACTTTCTCTGGAAGTATAATCATTACGAAGAGGAAGAAATTCGCCGAAGGAGTAAGGATTTTGTAAATAAATACAAGGATGATGTTTCCATGGAGCTGATTGATGAGCTTTTGCATTTGAAATTTATCCATGATGTTAACATCAAAAATGACTTAGACCCCTTTCTTCTTCTCAATAAAATCAACGACCTGAAACTTATATGTCTTTTCCCCAACATTTGTATTGGCCTGAGAATTTTTTGAACATTACCAGTTACGGTAGCACAAGCTGAACGGTCTTTTAGCAGACTGGCGCTTATAAAAAATAATCTAAGATCAACAATGACGCAAGGTAGAGTTTCTGGCTTGGGAATTTTAGCGATGGAGTGTGATTTAGCAAAAAAGATCAATTTTGACAGTGTAATTGCTGATTTTGCCAGTAGGAAAGCGAGGAAAGTTTTAATCTAACTTACAGGTTTTATATATTTTAATTTTGTTGTAGTTAAATTATATATAATTTTTCACTGTATTGTATTTAAAATATACTTGTAAATAAAATACTGTATATAGTCAAATTAAAAAATTATTTGTATCAAAAGTAGTATTATTCATATGTCTGAAGCCCTAAGCCCTGAGGGGGCCCGTCAGTTTGATATTACCCCAGGCCCGGTACCAGCTCTCCACGGCCCTGTAAATAATAGTGAAAAGTACAAAATAATTTGCCAAGAAGTAGCAAAAGCTATACTACAAAAAAATATAAATAACTGCTTTTGTTTATTTATAAAAATAAACAAAAGCAGTTGTTAACATCAATTTTTTTAAAAAAAAAGCAAATAAAAATAAAACAAACCCGTCTCAAAATAATGAAACGCGAGGCAATCCGTTAAAGACAACGTAGAGCAAGTTTAAAAGGAAAACTTAAGAGAGAGAAAAAAAAGAAATAGAGAAAAAATGGTAAACCAGCTGTAATTGAAGATCAACCAGATCTTCTAAATGCCATCCTTAAGATTGCATCAATAGGAGCCGTTGCTAGTGTTCGACGAAGATCGTAGGAGTTCACTTGATGACTTAAATAAATCTGGGCTATTGTTTATCGCTATCTGCAACGTGTTTAAGACTGATGCCTAAGCAATCAAACGCACTTGAGGGAATATGTCACATTAAAACAGTTCCTGTGAAATTGATCAGGACTGCTAATACAGCTCGTGATAAGCATATCGATGCTGGATTTACATTTGCGTGCATGCAATACATGGATGAAATTTGTTTAATGTTTGGTCCAGATTCATGCTTTTATTTGAGTCTAGACGACAAAGCCAAAGTACCATTAGGATTAGCAGCTGCAACAAAACAATCACCAATTTTGATGCATCTTGATTATCAAGTACGTTTGCTAGATCATGATTTTTTAGTGGCTTCTGACATAAGCGTATACCGTCTGTTTATGCAGCTTGTATTATTAATCTAAACAAATTTGCTGACGCAGTGTCATATTCTGGACCAACGTATCTTGCTATTAGATCTATGAAGCATGATAGCAGCACAGCTTTTACTCATAGTCGTGATTTGGAGCGTCTTGTTTCGATTGAAAATTTATAGCTTCATATTTGTACTCCAAAAAGTCATTTAAAACCGATAATTGTTGTTGCATGTGATGGAGGTCCTGATAAAATTTCAAGGTTTCCCAAACCATTGCAAGATTTATTAAATGGGATTTGATGTCCATCTAACAGGAACTCATGCACCTCATTATTCAGCATATAACAGGGTTGAACGGCATATGGCTCCCTGAGTCGAGAGTTAGCAGGATTGGATATGCCATATGATCATTTTGGGACACATCTAAATGCATCTAGAAAAACAATTGACATTGATTTAGATTGACATTGATTGACATTGATAAAAAAAATTTGCTAAAGCTGCAGAAATTCTATCTGAGGTATGGTCGGATATAGTATTTTATAACTATTTTGTTTGTGCTGAATATGTTTAAGCTTCCTAACTGTCACCAATACAAAAGCAAGGTTCAAAATATTTTTTAATGATCGTTAAGTGTGATGTTCCAAATTACTGTAAAACTTGGCGAAGTTCCTGGAAAAAATATTTTTCTCAAGGTTTTTTACGAGGTCCAGTTGTTATGTCTCATGCTACTGAAGGAATATTTATTCCTGAGCTAAAGGTAGCACGAAATATTCCTAAACTTTACTTTTCTTTCCTAGCGCATATGCGTGTTTAGAAACATAATCAACACTACTTCTAAGGAAAATAAAAATGACGATGAAAACAATGTTACTCATTAATTAACAGGAATTCTAATCAAATTCATGTCATCAAAAACATATTTGATTGGGCGAAATTACCTTTTCATTTAGATCACCAATATTTCTAATTAATTGATTAATGAAGACTATATTAATAATTTTGTTTATAAAATATTAAAACGATGTTTTGAAACCTATAAAGATAATAGTTTTTTTTATTTTTTGATTGCTTAAAAAAATTGTATCACCCTGCCCTTAACCACAAACTATAATTTAATGGTACCAAACATTCTTGCCAGTTTGTTGATTTTAAAAGTTTCTTGTTTGTCAGCAAAAACGCTTAAAGATTAACTGCACAAATCTTTCCACAAGTATTTTTTGTTTTATTTTTTGTAAATGATCTTTTAAGTGATTGCAAAATAATACACTTCACTTTCACTTTGATGTTCAAAGTTAAAAATTTTCAAACACTAAATTGACTGCTTGCAATTTTTTGGCTGAAATACATTTCAAAAATTTATAATCTATAGTTTTCTCAAGCTTCTTAGTTTATCATATTTATCAAAAAAATTAACCTAGATAAGATGATGCAATTTTGCTACGTGACATTTTTTATATTCAAGAAATAATAAATATGTTCTCAAGCACAAAGAATTTTCGTATTTATATAAGATTGAGCACAAATGTTTTTTCCTCGCGGTAATTATTCTCCTACTCTAATTTTAACTAAACTGTAAAATTAAAATTAAAAAAAAAAAATTTCCAGGCTGGACTACCGCAAGCAAATCGTTTTGAAATCGCAAAAAAATCCGAAAATTGTGCATCATCATTAAAACTTTTACTATTCCTAAATAAATATTAAGCGTGACCAAGCATGTGAACATAAACAAATTTTGCTATTATTATATAGCTAAAAACTACAAACTTTTTTTCAGACTATTTTTTTCAGCTTTAATAATAATCTTGACTAATACTTCAAACAGCGAGATTTTAATTTATTTACATCTAAAAAATTAATATAAACTGTATAAACTCATAAATATACAATTTAGTTAAGTATGATGGCTAAGGTTTTAAAGTTTCAGTTGTTTAGTTGCAGCAGACGTGATTACGATTAAATATCAAACTTTACTGCGTCAATCAATTGCAATATTTTATTTCTGCATAAAACCGCGGATCAAATGTTTAATTTCTAACAATTTTACAGTTTGCAAATATTTCAACCCCAAGGTTAATAACATAAAAAAAGTATGATTCTTAGGTTATTCCACATATTAAAAACCTAATCCGAGCAAAATCCGCTTCGTATATCAGCTGCTCAACTAATGGAAGAATAATAAACTTAAAATAAACTGCTATCTTCTTAATCGTTCCGTAAAAACTGAAATATTTAAAGCAAAAAGAGCACATAAAAGAAGAAATAATATTAACATCCCTCTGAATAGTTTCCATCTTTAAAAAAGTAAGACTAACTTAAATGAACATATAATAAGAACTTAAGTTTTTTTATTTCAAATATTATTAATTCAAATATTAACTTAACAATCTAAACCTCTAAACAAAATCTGAACAAAAATTTTTTTATGATTTTTTTTTAATTCTGAAATACTGCTCATTCTCGAGAAATTAGCAAATTTAAGTTCGGTCTATAAAAAAACGGAAGGTAAATTACTTACTGAAAACTATAGACCTATTTCACTAAACTCTGTTGTCTGCAAAATATTCATTATAGTTGTTAAGAACAAAACCTTTAAGCACATAAA